TTTGAAAATTTAAACAGGAGGGCAGCACTCTTGCACCAGGCAGCGCGAGGCAACCAGGCGCCTAGAGGCTCTAGGAGTTTCAGGGTAGTATATCCTAGTTGAGTTAAGATGGGCGCAGGCAAGAAGAGAGATATCTAGACAATTTGTGTTTTTAATGCAGAGGGAATAGAAGTACTAGAATCTTGTTAGCATAAGCGTACTTAATAAAAGCCTTTGTAACATAGCTACTATAACTATTAAGGATTAAGAGTTAGTACTTCCCTTGCGCCCTAACTCTAGTATAGCAATTAAACACCTGCTTAAGCTAGGCAAGTCTAAGGGCATTATTTGTCTAGCTATTTAGTAAGGTACTAAAGTGCACGCAGTCTTTCTTGGCTTCAAATTCCTTTAACTAGCTATATTGCATAGTAAGGGAAGATAAAGGGAAAATAACTGCAGGCAGCAACACAAAACTATTAGCTTCTACTGCTCCTACCACTGTCACCCACTTCCTGTTGCTATTATAAGATGCTAGCTTGAATCTCTAGAGTCTAAAGAGCTTCTTGTTAAAAATTTTAACACTCTTTCTAATCACTCTAATTATAAAGCCCTTCTTATCTATATTGTACGTGTTCTCTACCTCTATTGCATGCTGCTATATTGTACTGTGCAGGAGATCAAAATAGAGGCGAAAGGAATTATATAAAGCAGCGTCGTGACGCTGCTTCTCTATAGGCGCTGACCAGGCGGTAAGGAGTTTGTTAGGGTAATAATAAAGGAAGCAAGAAATCTATTAATTGCTTGGCAGCCACCTGCACAGAGGCGTGATTATTCTCACAAGAACCTTTCTTGTAGGCATAAGGTGTCTCTCTGTAAGCAATTTGACGTACTGTATAATCTCTACCTTATTGCGTGGGTAGAGAACTAGCTAGTCTTTTGCCTTGTCTTCACGCAACGTGTATACGCCATAGTGGCAGCGTGTTAAAGTTAAGCAGCAACAACCATGTTTTTTAGTAAGAGCTTAGTACAAAAGTGTATTGTTAGGTCCTAAAGTATCTAGCTCTGCAAGGGCTTCTTCTAGCAGCATTATGGTGTTGAGTTATAGGGGGTGCAAAGTAGGCGTCAATGTTGGTGGGGTGTGCATTACGCGCTGGTGTGCACTACAAGGCTGTGCATGTTATAAGTAGTTCTAGTATAAGCTATAGCTTTAAAGATTAATTTAGGGTCCTCTCTCTCTAGGAATTAGTTCTAATAGTTGTGTTTAGCTATTTTAACAGCCTGTAGATAGCTATTTCTAGCTATTAGATATTCTCTTTTCTAGGTGTAGGCACTTGTTAGGCTAACAGCAAGTTCTCTCTGTAGTTAGGGTTGTTTGCTAAGCATGTTTGTCCTAAGTGCTTTTAGGTCTTGATTCCACTAGGGCTTGCTTTTTACAGTGGTAGAGCATTGCAGAATTGCTGCCTTAGCTGCTTTAGTTATAGCTGTAGTGAGCTCTTTGGCTAGTGTTTCTAGCTGCTCTTCTAGGTCCTGGTCTTCTCCTTAGAGAAGTGCTAGAGATCTGCTTGTAGAGTAGTTTAGAGTGCTTGCGTTGCTAAGAGCAGAGCTGTTTGCTATCTCCTTTGCTAGCACTTTGCTAAATAGGTTCTAGTTTGCTTTGTTATTATTAAACCTAGGAGTAGGTTTGTTAAGTTGCTGTGTTCTAGGTGTCCTTATTATAAATAAGATGCCTAGGTAGTTAGAGCTAATTCCTCCTAGCGTTTGCTAGTCTTCTATAAGGTTTACTAGCTATGTTATAGCAAAGGTTAGGTCTAGGACACTCTCTCTATTTAGGCTGGCAGAATGGGTATACTCTAACGTCCTTCGTGGGTACCCCCCAAAACTTTGTCAATAATACATGGATTCTAGCAAAATAGGGCTTAAAAGAAAGAGAAAAACTACCTCTACATTTCTGTAGCAGAGGGTTTTGTTATAACTATTAAACTGCACAAGCTAGAGGCTAGAAAAGGTTAAAAAAGGGGGGGTACCTAGCAAGCATACCTATTAATAGGTAAACTTTGCTAGGTAGTGTTAATAACTTAGCTAATACTAGGCAGAATAAGCTAACTCTTTTTTTTATTAGAAGGCGCAATACTAGGCGCTTCTATTAAATAATAGATTATGTAAGCATATCTCTGCTAGTTAAGAAGCTATAAGCTAAAATAAAAAAAAGCATACCCTACCTATCCGCCAGCCTATCTCTATTCATGTTAGGCCTAAAGAAAGTGCCTGTACCAGGACTATTTAGTAGCTCTAGGTCTTGTTCTTCTAGCTAAGTAACAAAACTAGCTGCTCTTAGTGTTATAGTAGCTACTATAGGGTCCTACTATAGGT